AACAGGATTCGGAGACGGTTTACCTTCGAGCTAGCTCGTTTTCTGTCGATGCGAACTCGCGATGTGTTCAAACGTCATGGGCTACTGATCGACCAACTTCCACCAGGGCCAATCGGTTGGGATCTCTGCGACAACGATAGTAGTGAGGGTAATTCTTTTGGGAGGGACGAAGACGAAGGAAAGGGAAAGGGAAGAAAGGAGGACGAAGACGACGATGGAGCAGAAAAACATGGAGGAGTGGAAGAGAGCAAAGGGTTTGATCCAGATGACCTTCCCCACAACAAGAAACGTAGGGCTAGGGAAGAATTGCCCAGAGATTCTTCTTGTCAAAATGAGGATCAGAATGATGGTAGCGAAAACAAGGAGGATACTGGTGAAAGTACTCCTAAACGAACTCGAGTACTAGGAAATAGTCTTGGTAGACGGGTGCAGTTTTCTTCTGTTGCTGTTGTTTCTGTTTTTGATCCGAAGGATAGTTTAGCCTACCCCATGCTGCCCCTTCACGGGGTCCCGGTTCATGGTAGATAGAAGTGTTTTGTGTTTTCAACCGCACTAAGACTGACGTCTTTCCATTGGTCAGCCGGTTAGCGCGGTCGATGCTAAAAAACAAAATACAGACAGAACAAAATGACGCGCATACAGCAACAACACACACACGATGCTAATCATAAAAACACCAACCACCACCACGTGCACACCGACTCGTGAGGGCAGCAGCAGCATGTCGAGGGCGCCCGCTCAGGCGCAAGCGCGGGCGCACCTCTGTCAACTGCTGGCGGCGCCATGGTTGAAGGGCAACTTTTGCGACGGTTAGGTTTTTAGGGGATATCAAGCCGGATTTCACGTCGTATACACAACATGAATGTTGAGCATATGAATACCCTATGACTATGATATTGTTACGTGGCAAACTGCATCGACATGCTGCTGCTGCCCTCATGAGTCGGTGTGCAGTCGTCGTGGTGGTGGTTGGTGTTTTTGTGTGTGTGTGTGATGTTGTTGCTGTATGCGCGCCTTTTTGTTCTGTCTGTATGCGCGCCCGTTAGTTTGTTGACCGTTGTGTGTCACGCATTTATTTGTGGCGTTTGCCGTTAGTGCGCTGCTTGCCGGGCTAGCCGCGAGCATCGTCCCGTCCCTGGTATCCTCCCGTGCCGGTACCGAAGGGGCCTGGCATGTGTCTGACTTGTTCCTCCGCGGCCGGTCCGCAGTCGGCAGCCATGAATACGAAAGATGCCATGGATACGGTGTTGGGAGGTGCTGAGACGTTCCGAGGCTATTCGATGTCCTGCCGTGCGGTGACATGGAGGTCGATTTCCGCTCTATTTCCGCCGTCCTTACGGGCCGTTTTAAACACGCCAAATAATTTTCCAAACTTCCAAAGTTCCGAAATATTTGGAACTTGTGTGTAGGCGTTTGTCCAAACTTTTCAAAATAGTTTGGAACGGAGTCGGGCCAGAAAGTTTGGCACCAGTTCGTTCCAAAGTTTGGAACTCTTCTTGGACACTTTTCCAAACTATCAACAAACTATAGTGCAGAGCACGTGAGGGCTGCAAAGTGTTGAACCACGAGATCCCCTCGCAACAGAACGCCAGCTAGGGTTGTTCTTGGGTGATGGCTGACCGTAGAAAGCGGGGCGTGCCTGCAGATTCGGCGGGCTGTCCTCGCCCGCCGGCACGAGCAAGGCACACAAACAATGCCGATGTGCTGATGAGAATGAAGGCTGTGGCGGCAATAGTGCTGGTGCTGACTGTAGTTACAACGACGGTCGTTCAGAGCTTCGCCCCCAAGGCACGGCTACCTATCCATGAGCTGCGGCGCTTGGACTGGGAAGAGCATGTGAGAGACATCAAGCGCAG